CAAAACATACACACACACACACACACACACGCACACACTCACAGACACACACACACACTCACAGACACACCAATACACACTGTCACAAACACACACACATTCAGTCACACACACATATTCACACAAACACACTCAGAAAAACATACACATACGCACACTCACACACACACACACACACATACGCACACACTCACAAACACACACACACACACACACACACACATGCAAACACCCACAAACACACACACATACAAAAACACACACTTACATATATACATTCACACACACACATGCAAACACACACTCACATACATACACTCACACACACACACTCTAACAGACACTAACACACAATGACATTCACTCAATCTGCACATTCACCCACTGCCACACACTCACTGCACATACACACATGCTGATATGCACATATACACTCCGACACACACGCACACTATCGACATTGCACGTACACAGACCCACACTGACACATAAACATCACACACTCACTCACAGACACACAACATACAAACAATCACACTTAGCTTTCTGAAGAAGGCTCTAGGCCCGAAATGTCAGCCTTCCTGCTCCTCTGATGCTGCTTGGCCTGCTGTGTTCATCCAGCTCTACACCTTGTTATCTCTACACTTAGTTACACACACTGACACTCAAACACGCAATGCACACACATACTGACATGCAAACATGCACACTTAAATTGAAACACATAGCTGTATTTACACTGTTGCACACTAACACACTGACTTGCACACTCTCACTCACTGTTGGACACACATGCACACATACAAAATAACTTAATGGTCTCTGGTTTACCAGAGTACTGTATAACCTCATTGCAATCAAACCCTTATCAATCAGGATGCAGCAGTTGGCTCTCAAGTTGAGCATTTTGAAGCCTGTCAACCTGAAAGTTTGGTTTGCTAGTTGGGCTGAGTATGGTGTAGACTAACAACAGCAGAATGAATGTGAACCTCTCACCAGCTAAGGCCGTTCTTTGAGCTGCCTCCTCTCCCGATCTCATCCTGATATCACGGCAGGACCATGATTAGCAACCCCTGGACAATGCCTCATTGGATGGTGTTAATAACACTGGACTAGCAATCCAGAGTCCAGGTTAATGCCTAGTGTCGGTGGTGCTGTTTATTGATGGTGATGGTGATAGGTTTGTGGGGGGGGTGGTTGGTGACAGGGTCAAAGGTTCGAATCCTACCACTGCAGCTGGTGGAATTTAAATTCAAAAGGTAAAACCTGGAGTTGAAAGATTGTGTCAGTGATTGTGACCATTAAATTGTCATTGATTGTTGTAAGAACCATCTGGTTCACTAATATTCTTCAGGGAAGAAAATCTGCCATCCTTACCCGATCTGGCCCACATGTGACTCCAGACCCACAGCAATGGTGTTGACTCTTGACTGGCCCTAGCAAGGCTCTCAGTTCAAGGGACAGGCAACAAATGCTGATATTATCAACAATATCCACATCCCATAAAAGACTTTTTCAAATATGCTACATATTTAGAGAGTGAGAAGGAGGGAGATCCATAGTTTAAGTTTCAATTACATCAAATTAAGTAGAGTTCTACAGCATTGAAAGAGGCCATTCAGCCGAACAGGTCCATACTGGTCTTTATGCTCCTCATGAGTGTACTGCATCTAACCCTTTTGTTTTTCTCCCTCATAATGAAGACATACCACAGCCTGTCCCAGGGCTCCTTACACAGGGAAAAGTACTTCTGAACTGGTGTCACAGTTGTAATGTTGGAAACACTGCAGCCAATTTGTGTACAGCTAAATCCTACCAACAGCAGTGGGCTAAATGATCAGATG